GTGTTTACCCCATACCCCCTCTCTAAGTGGCTACCTGTCATTTTCCATTTCAGCTCTACCTTTCTACTTACAGGGCTGCTGACCACCAGCTGACATATTACCTGTATTGATTGTCTAAGAGCTGTCACGGCAGAGGGAAAGACTATTCTAAGGCAGCCCTGAGCTCTTAGCTGAGTGGGATCATAAACGCCCCCATTAAAGGTTTTATTCAATAACAATCTTTGCTAAAGTAAATGGACATCAGTCTCCCACCCCCACAACGAATACAGAGACCATTATCAATGGGCAGAGAGCACTAACTGTGGCGGTATCAGTTTCCACATTTTCAAATGATTCCTTTAATGAAAAGCTGCGTTCTTTTCAGGCCATAAAACACCACGGAAAAGTCTATTCATTTAGCTATTGTACATATTAGCTTATTTATTTATGGCTAATGCTACCATCAGCATTCCCTGGATGTGGAGTTAACTCACTTAATGATTGCTTGATAAACTGCTAAAAAGCAAATATGCTGAAATCGGCTCTCATGCAGGGCTCCCTGCATATTGCCATCACACAGGGTGAGCTGTTTATTTTTTCATTGCAAACACAAACCCACTGGTCTTTATACTCTGTGTAAAACTATTCATCTCCCATAAAGCATTTTATAACAGCATGCCTATCTGATCTAGAGCTCACGAAAATTCATTTTCAACCAATTTCATAGGAAATAAGCAAATTGCCATAACTCAACCAAATCTCCCTTAGTTATTTAAAGAAAATCTTTACCACCAAATTGTAGGCTCTTTTAGGGCAAGAATCATCTTCCCCTTTTTCTCTTCTTCCCTACTCCTTCCTTGTCCTGTGTTCATGAAATAGGTACTGAGCCCCTAATCTGGAGCATCGCAGCAGTTATGTGTCTTGTATGGTAAGGACTTAAAGGTTGTGGACAGAATTAGTTTTGTTGAGAAAATAGTACCTAAATGAGACTAGTCATTGATGGATGTAGGAAAAGAATTGGGACTTGTACATTGGTGTTTTCTAAAGATTCAGGTTCAGAATTTGATTCACTATTTCTATTAGTGCATTTCTAAAGGTATTTTTATTTATTTATTTATTTTGAGAAGGGGAGAGCATGAGCCGAGGAGGAGGAGCAGAGAGAAAGAGGGAGAGAGAAAATCCTAAACAGGCTCAGTGCTGCGCAGGGTTCTTTCTTATCAATGTGAGATCATGACCTGAGCCAAAATCAAGAGTTGGGCACTCAACTGACTGAGCCACCCAGGCGCCCCCTGACCATTTTTTCATGAGCCAAACTATTCTCTTCCCCAGGGCCTTTACTAATTATATTTCTTCTGCCTGAAACATTCCCCATTCTTCTGGAATCTAGCTTTAAGTGCTGACTGCTTGGGTTTGGATCTGGACTCCACCATTTAACCAGTTGTGTGATCTTTAACTTCTGTAGACATCAGTTCCCTTATCTGTAAAATGGGGAAAATAATAGTACTTACCTAACTGGGCTATGATAAAGATTAAGTAAAATCGTGTGCCTAACAGTGCATGGCATTTTGTACATGTTCAATAAATGTTAGATATTGATGGTGGTATTATTTCCTTCTATGTTTCCAGAAAGCATAATGCCCTATATATAATAAGTGGCTCAATAAATATTTGTGGGATGAATAAATGAATGGACAAGTGTATTAAAGACAAGATCTGGCCTTCCCCTTATTGTCACTACTGTGGAACCAAAATGTCCCCATTAAGAGGGACAGACAGCAGCTCCCCATGATATCTGACAGCCCAGGGAGGACACAAAGCAAAAGAACAAATAGGAAAGCATAGCATGTATGAAGACAAGGAAGGAAAAGGCAGCACAGTGATGAGTTCATTATGCCTTGTGCTAGCAGACAGAGATGACAGCCCAGAGATCTGCCAGGGATGAACTGTGGGATCAGGGATGAGAGGTGGGAGGCAAGGTGTGAATGCATTTACTCAGTCAACAAACACCATGCAAGGTGCTGGGTGCTAGAAATGCCAAGCACAGTGGGTTCAAGGTGCAGTGCAGAAGATACACTACCCTGTGATGCCTCTGAAAGATCCTATATGGCCACTACCTAGCTGCTTCTAGACCTTGTTACTTTCACACACTCAACAAATTCTAAATGTCACCAGTAATCAAAGCAAGTGGGCACACTCATTCTGCTGAGAATGGTTTAAACTGGCACAAGCTTTTTAGAAAGCAGTTAGGCAGGGGCGCCTGGATGGCTCAGTTGGTTGAGCATCTGACTCTTGATTTCAGCTGAGGTCATGATTCCAGGGTTGTAGGATTCAGTGCCATGTTGGGCTCTATGCTGAGCATGGAGCCTGCTTAAGATTCTCTCTCTCTCTCTCTCTCTCTCTTTCTCTCTCTTTCTCTCTCCCTCTGCCCTTCTCCCCTACTCACACTCTTTCTCTGAAAGAAAGAAAGAAAGAAAGAAAGAAAGAAAGAAAGAAAGAAAGAAAGAAAGGAAGGAAGGAAGGAAGGAAGGAAGGAAGGAAGGAAGGAAGGAAGGAAGAGGAAGAAAAAAGAAAGCAATTAGTCACTGTGCACCAAAATCTTTAAAAAGTCTGTAGTCTGTAACCTGGTAGCTCCTGTTCAAGGAATCCATTCTACAGTCAGAAATGCAGAGATTTGTAAACAAGCATGTTCTTACCTGCACTATTTTTAATAATGAAATCTAATTAACAACATGAACATTCAGCAACAGGGCTTGTAGCACAGCAATACAATGCTGTATTGGGTGGCTATTGAAGTTTTTAAAATAATGTTTGACATTCTTTCTTCACAGCAGCATGACACTGGGGAAAGCTCACAGCATAATACTAAGCCAAAGAGGATCCAACCTTATTAGTAGGTATGTATCTATACAGAGATTGGTACAGTTTTTCATTTAAAACAGACAACTTGACAGGTATTAGTATCCAGACAGAGGGAAATTAGATAGGAAACCGTCCTAACAAGCTTTCCCAGGTCTTATCTGAATTCTTTCAAGACTGTCTCTATGCAGTGAGGGTATCATGCCATCCAGGAACTAGCCTGTCACCTCCGCTGGCTCTGGCTGACTTATCTGTCAAATGAGGAGTTTAGACACCATTACTATCGCTAAGGCTTCTGCGAACAAGCAAATATGCAAGGTAGACACGATTTGGGTTAACATTTGCCATTGTCAGGATGGCCCCATTTGAAAAGGTGCAAAGCTAAGCATTTGGATTGGAAAACTCTAGAAACAGCTAGCAGCCTCTAATCGGGCAACTGAGGCAGAAATAGAGAAACACAGATTGGGGGATCCGGTATGTTGGGGGATGGTCTGGGCAACAAATTCTGAGGAATAGGATCACCGCTCCTGGGGACCCTCTAGCAGATGCTTCAGGGCCAGTAGATGTCCAGGACACCCTTTCTTGGCTGCGTCCCCGGTGTGTGTGTGGGAGGGGGGTGCCCAGCGACCACCGGGGATTCTGCCGCCACTCCCCGCCTTGTGGCCTCCAGTGAGTTTCGATCTGGTGCGTGCTCTGAGCAGCTAAGACCTTCTTTGACCACCAGCCGGAGGAGGGGGAAGCAGGGCTGTTCGGGGAGGTGTGGCGCAGCCCCCTCTCCGCTACAGTGATCTCCTAGGGCAGATTTCGGGGTGAGGTCACCGCTGCGGAGACCTCTAAGGGACTGAGGGGCTGTTTGAAGCCTCTCAGGCCTAACCAGAGCTCTAATAAGAGCAGGGCATTTAATTGGCCTTGTAATTTCCGATCAATTCCCGAAATCAACACTCGGGGCGAGATGGGTGCAGACGCCACTCCCCCTCCCCCCCTCCCACCCCGACCGCGTCCCCACCCCTCAGCAGAAGGCCGGGGTCCCGCCCAGCCTCCCGGAGCTGACCTGGCCCGGGCCGGGAGAAGCGCGGGTTCCCTGCACTTGGCGGGGCGGGGGAAGGGGGTGGCGGGGGACGCGGAGGGGATGCAGGCGCCCTCGGAGGCGCGGGTGCCCCGCACGTGGCGGGCCCGGGGCGGGGGGAGGCACGCGGAGGGGATGCAGGCGCCCTTCCCGCAGCCGCCCTGCCGCTTCTTCCAGAAGGACTCTCTTCCAGAAGGACTCGCCCGAGGAGGCAAGAGCGAGAGACGATTCCGAGACGAGCAGAACCGAGCATTTTAAAATAACTTTTTCCCCTCTTATCTTTACGGAAAATTGACGCTCGGTTTTCAGCCCCTTAGAGATACTATTTTCCAGTCTCTGGCCTTTCAATTTATGTCTATAGGTTTCTTTTTATTAAACAGAAACCGTTTTGTAAACTTCCCCTACTGTATAGTGAACATTTCCTGTGTATCGTTATATCCCGCTGAAAGGATGTTCCATGATTTAGAATCAATGGCATACTGTTGGACATTTAGGTAGCTTCTAATTTTTCAATATGACAAAGAGCTGTGATAAACATCTGTGTAAATAAATATTTGCCTACATCCCGGATTGTTTTTCATTCGAATCGATTTCTAGACGCACACTAATGGCACCAAACGTAGGGAAGGAGTGGAAAGACTTAGGTGGGCCCAGGTGCGCTCACAGCACAGCGACGCGAGTGGCAGAGGCCTCAACAGGGGCTGTTTTTGTTACTTCCTTGATTTACCCTATGGCTGTCTCCCTTCCCCCCGTAATTATTACTCAGAGCTTTCCGAAATAAAGCAGGGCTCTGATTTCACCCGCACCGCAAGAGGTTTCCCTGGTGGGGAGGACTGCTCCGGCCTCGAGGCTCACGAGGCTCAGCTACCGGAGGAGGGACAGGGAGGGTGGAGGGGAGGCAGACGGGAAGAGGCATAGGCAGAGTCCAGATCCATTTTGTGGGATGGATGTCCCTCCCAGGTGACATCCAGGGTCTGACCCCGCCCCATGTCCGTGCGTAAGGGAGGGGGGGGGTCGTGACAATGGCCGTGACGACTGATGGTCCTCCTTTGAGCTGCTGGCCTTGGGGACCCCGCAGTCCCCCCCTTCCTCCCTCTCCCTCCCTAACCCCACACCTTCAGACCTCCTCCTCCCCTCCACCCGCGGCTGCCGGAGCCCCCACACGCCGGTGAGTGGGAAGCCCAGACGCCACCAAGGCGGGCCTCAGGCTAGAGGCGGGACGGGGAGGGGTGGGGTGACGGTGGGGAGCGCAGCCGCAGGCGGCGCGCGGAGAGAACTGAGGCACCGACTGGCTGCCTCCTGCCCACGTGGCCCAGGGCTTCCGGGAGCTGGAGCTCCTAAACTCGGTCCAGGCTGGCCGTCGGCGGGCCCAGCTCAAGCCCTGAGCCTGAAGCCTGGGCTGGCTCTTATCTAACTTTTGGAAGCCGCCTAGGTTGCAGCTAGAGAAAGGGGTCTAATTCGGGGCTGTCCACCTGCGCACTGAAATGGGACGACTGGTTTCTCCTGGTGATCTTTTTCTTTCTGCCGGAGAGGCTGAGACCTCAGAGAGAGCTTCTTGGTTGGGCAAGGCTGAAGCCAGACCTCTAAAGACAGGCATCTTCCCCCTTCATCTTCACCTTAGGCGTTTTGAGAGCTCACCAGGGAGTGAAGGGGTGAAGCGTTAAGTGCAGGCTTGGTGCAGGCCACTCACCTAACATTTTATGCAGTTTTTCCATTATTCACTTTCTCTAAGTCTTACACTCTTCACTACTGCGTATCCTTCTTGAAGGCAAGGGCTCCCTCTTACACTTGTTCTGTTGGTTCCTTGATGGATGTATTTTTATATACTGAATATATTTTAAATATATAATCCACCTATTTGTCTACAACTTTTTGTAGCAGATGTAGTCTTTGAAGCTAGGTATAAAACCGTGTGCAGGGAAGTCTGCCTCTCACACCAGTTGTCCTGCGATCCATGGTTAATGGGCATATCCTCTGAGGACTGTGGGGGTGGGGGGGCCTGGGGGTGGATAATTTCCTCGACCTAGCTCACTGTTTCACCTAGCTCAATTTCAGAGCTTTCAAGTCTCAGCTTAATTTTCATTCCTCTGAGAAATCTGTTGTGACCTTTCCTCCACAAAATTAGGAAACAGATCCTGGGGGCACATGGGTGGCTCAGCCGGGTTAAGCTTTGGACTCTTGATTTCAGCTCAGGTCCTGATCTCAGAGTTTGTGAAATCCAGCCCCACTTTGGTCTCTGTCCTGATAGCACAGAGCCTGCTTGGGATTCTCTCTCCCTCTCTCTCTGATCCTCCCCGGCTGTCCCTTTCCCCCATTCTCTATTTCTCTCTCTCTCAAAATGAATAAATAAACATTAAAAAATAATAATTTCTAATTTGAGGAATTCATTGAACTTTTTTACTGGCCTAATTAATATATAGCTAATATTTTGAAATATTCCATGAATATTTGAAAAGGCTGTGTTTTTTTTTATTGGGCAGGAAATCTGTACCTGTTTATTGAATTGTGTGATGTATTCCTCTACATCTACATTTCTATGTAAATTGGATCTGTTGATTTTTGAGTGATAGGTTAACATCTCCCGCTTTATTTGGGGTTTGTCAGTAGATATTTGTTCTGCTATCAGGTTTTGCAGTATGTATTTTGAATCTGTTAATAGGTGCACAAAGGTTCCTGACCATTACATGTATTTAGTGGATCATAACTTTTATAAATATAAAATATTCTTCTAGTACTCTTTAAGACTTTCAACTTTGATTTCAAATTGGTCTGATATTATTGTTTTTTTATTCGTATCTACCTTGTAGATCGATTTTTTTCGGTTGCTTCTGTTCCTCTTTTTTGGACTTTTATTATTTTGCTCGTCTTTTATTACATTCAATGAAAAAGAGAAAGCAGTGAGTCTGATGGCAATTTCTACCATTTTTGTGATCATTTTCCAAATTGTGTTCATATAATGTTGGTCTTTTTCTTGTTTCTGTTCAGATAGCTCTGTTCTGGAGTCACTAAAATCTTTCGTTCTCCAAGGGAGGAGCAATGAGGGTGTCTCAGAGGCTGGTCAGTGCCCTGGTCACTGATGTCTTTCAGGAGGACAGGGAGTTCCTATGTACACCCATAACTCTGGGGTAGTTCACCTGCACTGAGCAGTGCTCATTTTGATAAGCTTACCTTTATGTGTTTGTCCCTACTTTTAGTTTTGAATTCCATACTGGTTTGAATTGTCTCAAGTAAAGCTTATGCGTGAAAAATCCACACTCACGTGGTTTTTATGGTTTTATACTATACACTATGGACATCAAGTAAAATCTAGACACTAATAGTTAAATGTATTAAAAGTATGTCTGTAACGGTAAAAAGTCCTATTGACATCTATTAGTCCAAGCTATAAAAAAAGTAAAATCACCTACCTCCTTCCAATTCAGTCAATGGGTATTTATTTTCATTGTGTTATTAGAAGATCTGACAACTGATCTATTTCTCTTAGCCTAGTTTTCATACTCTGAGTCACCTAATCTACTCACCTGAAAGAGAGATTTGGTATGCTGGCTTTATGATATGTCTTTGCATAACTTTCTGTGATTTGTCCTACAGCATTTTTGGCACATTTCCTGAAATTCCAAATTTATTTTTCTTTCCCATTTGTTTTGGGAAATGTTCTTTCTTGGGAGACATTTTCCTTTTCTCAAAAAAACAACTTTTAATGTTTGTTTATTTTTGAGAGACAGAGCACAAGTTGGGGAGGGGCAGAGAGAGAGGGATACACAGAATCTGAAACAGGCTCCCTCCAGCTGCCCAGTGCGGGCCTCGAACCTGCAAAACTGTGAGATCATGACCGGAGCCAAAGTCGAAGCTCAACTAATTGAGCCACCCAGGCACCCTGCCTTTTTTCCTTTTTAACATCACAACCTCTATACTGAAATGTATTCAGTCTTCAGTCTTAATGAGCAATTTATTGAAAATATTTCATCTAAGTAGTTTGGTTGGAGATTCATTCATTCATTCATTTATTTAGGCCTGGGGCATGATTTTGAGAGAACATGTAATTGTGACCACGTTTTATCAATCATCTGGTACTCATTTCTAGTTGTGTTACCCATCTTTGAGCAAGCACTCGGGACTAATTGAACATTTGCTCTAACTCATGCAAAAGGCTGCTTCCTAGAAATTGATTTGGTGATTTTTAAAAATGCGTCTAGAATAAGGATCCCCATTACATTTCACATTGGAAAAAAGAAGCAATATGCATGATTGACACCACAAGGAATGTCTGTGTGCTGCGTGTGTACACCTTTTTGCAGTCATTATATCGAACATGACTCATTTTGAGACTATAACCTTGAGTTGTCATTGCTTTAGAAAACGTGGACTGGTTAGGACATCCATTAATGTCCTAGAACAAACGCTCTATAGCAGAGTCCCCAAGGGAGGCAGAGATTTTACTGGTCTCCGGACACAGGAATCCATTTGTTGGAGCATATGCTGAGTGTGATGAGCTGGAAAATGAAGTTAATTTCTGTGTCAGACCAAAGTAGGCGCAAGACAGAGTCACTGGATAAAATGAAGACTGTGTATCCTTGAGAGGGAGGAATAACTGTATTTTTCCAGATTGGGTTACACTTTTTTGGTTTATTCGACAAGGCTCACATCAAGCAGTAAAGAGGAACAGAATCTAAGAACTCCACGTTGGTGTCTAGGAAGCTCTCATTGTGATATCTTTAATTTCAGGTTTTACTTCATGCAGAGTAGTAGAAGAGAGGACAATACCTCATCACTAAAAGCATCCTGTAAGTGGAAAAGCTATTAATATTCTCACAAGTTCTTCTAGTTGAAGTTTTAAAACAGAAGAATTGTAATTTCCTGTCTTCCATCTGGGTCACTTGATTATCAAAGCAGGAACAGTACAACATTTTTGTTTTATATTTATTAGTAGGAGGTGGTTTTAAGTTTTGTGGATTTTTTTAAATGTTTATATATTTTTGACAGAGAGAGAGAGACAGATGGATAGAGCGCGAGAGGGGAGGGGCAGAGAGAGGGAGAGAGGGAGACACAGAATTCAAAGTAGGCTCCAGGCTATGTGCTGTCAGCACAGAGCTGGACATGGGGCTCAAACCCACAAACTGTGAGACCAGGACCTGAGCTGAAGTCAGATGCTTAAGTGACTGAGCCACCCAGGGGTCCCTTGTGGGGATTTTTTAGTAGTCTCTTCACCCGACATGGGGCTGGCACTCATGACCTCAATATCAAGAATGGCATCCATTTCCGACTAAGCCAGCTGAGAGCCTCTGCCCTGACTGACTGACTCATTCACTTACTTTAATTTCTATTTTAAGAGAGAATGAGAGAGAGCGTGAGCGCACAAACAGGGGAGAGTGGCAGAAGGGGGAGAGAGAGAAAGGACTGAGAGAGAGAGAGAGAGAGGGAGAGAGGGAGAGAGAATGAGAATCTTAAGCAGGCTCCACGCTTACTGTGGAGCCTTACATGGGACTTGGGACTGGGACCATGACCTGAGCCGAAATCAAGAGTTGGTCACTCAGCCAGCTGAGCCACTCAGGCACCTCTGCCCTGACATTTTTAAACTGACACACAGGGGCGCCTGGGTGGCTCAGGCAGTTAAATGTCTGACTCTTGGTTTCAGCTCAGGTCATGATCTCACAGGTTGTGGGTCGAGCCCCACATTGGGCTCTGTGCTGTGAGCATGGAGCTTGCTTGGGATTCTCTCTCTCCCTCTCTCTGCCCCTCTCCTGATTGTTCTCTCTCTCAGTCTCTCTCAAAATAGTTAAAGAAGGAAACAAAAAATTATTAAACATAACATACATTATAATGGAAGCAAAGCCCACATTTCTTTTCTACTCCCCACACCTCCCTACCCCAATGTAGTCAATTGTTTTGTAAGCAGAATATTAGCCTTGCAATCCTGCCTAGTATGATAATTAGCTTGGAGATATTTAAACTGTTGTATTTTAAATTTTACCTATTTTTACATATTGAGGAACTACCTCCTATTTTCTGACAGGAAGATGGTACAGTAATTAAAAGCAGAGGGGCATCTGGATGGCTCAATCAGTTAAGTGTTTGACTTCCTGGCTCAGGTCAGGATCTCATGATTTGTGAGTCCAAGCCCCTCACCAGGCCCTTTGCTGTTATCAGAGAGCCCACTTCAGATCCTCTGTCCCCCTCTCTCTCTGCTCTTCCCTGCCTCTCTCAAAAATAAATAATTGTTTAAAAGAAAAAGCAAAAACAAATAATTAAAAGCATAGACATTAGAGACCGATACAATTAATTGTATGATTTGGGGCAGCAAACTTCTCTGAGCTCAATTTTCTATTTGTAAAATGAGGATAATAATCCCTATCACACAGGCTTTTTGTGTGGATTAAATAAGATATTTTGTAAGTACTTAGAACAATATCTGGTTCAAATATAGTAGCACCTTTGTCACTAACTGCATGATTGATATTATTTAAGTGTTTTTTGAAAACAGGGTAATAGTTTAGTTTTATTTATTTATTTTTTGAATGTTGATTTATTTATGTTGAGAGAGAGAGTGAGTGAGCAGTGGGGGGAGAACCTGGGGGCTCAGTCAGCATTAAGAGTCAGATGCTTAACCAACTGAGCCACCCGGGTGGGCGCCCTGGGTTATAGTTTAGTTTTAAAGACTTCTACATTGTAACTAAAATTTTTCCTTCAAAAGGTAGTATTCTGCGGCTCCTGGCTGCTCAGTCCATGGAACATGTGCTTCTTGGTTTCAGGGTTGTGGGTTTAGGCCCCACATTGGGTATAGAAATTACTTAAAAATAATTTTTTTTTTTTTTAATTAAAAAGGTGATATCTTATGTGCCAGGTCCTGGTCTGAATACTTGATGGTTGGTTCATGATCATCCCTGTGGTACAGATGAGGAACTTGAAGGGCAGACAGAAAAAGCAATTTGCCCAAGTGCAGTGAGAGCTCTGGCTCTTACACAGGCAAAGCACTGCAGATTTCAATTAAAAAAATTTTTTTAATAAGTAGGAATAGGAAAATAAAACATATATATATGTAATAAAAATATACAACTGGGGCACCTGGGTGGCTCAGTTGGTTAAGTGCCCGACTTCAGATTCTGCTTCAGATTCTTGTCTCCCTCTCTCTCTCTGCCCTTCCCCTGCTTGTGCTCTCTCACTCTCTCTCTCAAAAATAAGTAAATAAATTTAAAAAAAAGAAGAGAGGAAGAAAATGCAAGGTGGTGTATATCTAGATCCTGTCTTATGAAGCTCAGCCATAGGCACTTTTCTAGGAAGACTATACAGCAACACTGTTTTAGAAAATAGCTCAGAATGCAAAACGGAGAGGATCTCAGTCTGCTGCCCATGGGAAGTTAACCCCTGCACTCCTTGGACAACCACTGGGGAAGCCCCACTGCCCTGATGCTTCAGATGAGTCTGGATGTTGTGGGAGGAGCCAGTGATGTTTGGTGGCCAAGGATCCCAGGGTCAGGCAGGAGCCAGGTGAACCAAGCGGCCTGAAAAGAGGGACCCAGTAGACCAGCTGGGAGACTTATCCTCTCTGATGATGAAGAAGTTATTTCACCTCTTTTTGTTCACTTTCCATATCTTTAAAATAGGAATAATATCAGCCTTTTAGGGCCAGTGTGGAAATTAAATAAAACAATGATTATAGTGATGATAGATGACATATGGTAATAGCATCTAACATTTCCTGAGCATATTCTAGGTATGTTCTGGGCATGGTGCTAAGCACTGTGCACTAATTGCCTTATAGAATCTCAACAATAATCTTACGAGATATAAAGATAATCTTATCTTTTCTTCATCAACAGATGAGGAAACGAAGGTTAAAAAAGGCTGCACATCTAGTGAGCAGCAGAGCCCAGATGTGAAGTCTAAGTGTGAGTGACTAATGAGTGTAGATACATAATTAGTACGTCGTTTTGCATTTGTTAATTCATTCGTTCATTCATTCTTTCACCAAATGTTTTTTGGAAACCTTTGCTGTGTCGAGTGTGTTCCAGGTGGGTGATATATGTGAGTGTCAAAACCCAAACCCCTGTGCTCATGAAGTTCAAATTCTAGTGGTGGGGAGTGGGGGAGACATTCACCGGAGAACAGACGTGGTGAAAAAGGAAATGTAGTATGTCGGAAAGCAAGTGCTTTGGAGATCAAACAAGGTCAGGAAGACTGGGGTACAGACAGGTGGTAATTTGACCAAGGGCAGTCAGGGCAGGCGTGAATGTAAGGGTGTCAAGGGTGGGGATCTGGGAAGGAGCCTTCCAGTCTGAGGAGCAAGTATTCTAAGACTTAAGAGCACAATGTGTCTGTGACAGAGGGACATGGAGGAGGCCAGCGGGTTGGAGCAAAGGCAGAAAGAATGACAGGATACAGTAGCAGGAGTTGAGGAATGCAAGGTTGCAGAACATACGGTCTTGGAGGACCTTGGAAGCCGTCAGAAGGGGTTAGCTTGCACTGGGAGTAATGCAGGCCACACTCTAATGCTACATAACGTAAAAGCACTTGTTACCTCAAAGCGTTTATGATAATTGCAATCTTTTCATGGCCCTCTGTCCTCACACAGCACTGAATCTGCTCTTGCTAAGATCATTAACAAACTCCTCATTGGCAAATGTTAATACACTTTTAAAATCTTATCAGCTCTATTGCATTTGGCTTCTACTTGACATTCAGACAAAGTGTATGTCTTTATATATTTAAGATGCTGTGTATAATAGCTTAAATGCAAAATGATCATGACCTGCATCCCTGTGTTGAACATTTTAAAATGTGTGATTAGAGTCAAATTGAGAAACGTTGTATAGGTAGAGACTTTGGAGATCAAAGCAACGTTCTTGACCCCAGGCGCGGCTTGTTCAAACTTTCTATTAACTGTGTGGCTTTAGGGAAATTAGTAAATAGTTTTGAGTTTTATTTTCCTGATCTTCAAAAATCTTCAAAAGATTGTTGCGAGTGGCTTATTGCTATACCCATTCTGCAGATGGGCAAACAGAGCCAGAGAGGTTGAGGAACCAACTTTCTATTCTCTTCTGAACAAAGACAAAAATTCATCCGCACCTGTGAAAACTGGAGAGCCTGGTGATCACCCGGGCCTCTATAGAGCACCACCCCAGCTTTGCAAAGGTGGGCTAAGGCAGCAACCGCTCACGGGACCAGAATTCTCTTTCAAAATGACTTCAGATCCACTCTAACTTACAGTTAAAATCACACTTGAAGCCCTGAGGTTTACAACTCTAGAAAATCATGGCTGGAATAATTTTTGTGTGGCCTAGAAAATGTAAAAGCAGATATACCTGAAGATTAATCTTAGCTATTTAAAATATAATGGCACATATTAATATCTATAAAACTTCTAGTATTGACCAATACATCTTCCTGGTGCCTTATTTTTTTTTTAATAATTTCTTTTTAATGTTTTATTTATTTCTGAGAGAGAGAAAGCATGAGCAGGGGAAGGTCAGAAAGAGAGAGGGAGACACAGAATCCGAAACAGGCTCCAGGCTCTGAGCTAGCTGTCAGCACAGAGCCTGACACGGGACTCGAACCCACAAACCATGAGATCATGGCCTGAGCTGAAGTCAGATGCTCAACCTACTGAGCCACTGCCCCTCTGGTGCCTTCTTAAAATTAGTCCCTGGTGCATCTTTACAACTAGTAAAATTTACATTAATGTAACTAACATGACAGATTTTAACTTATGAAGGAGTTATGAATTGGGGAAAGCCAAAATTAATGAAGAAAATGAAAGAAAAGCTGCCACATAAATAAAATCAAGGTCTGGTTATTTGGGGGAAAATAGCCCATAGCAAATAGAGAAAACTGACCAAGCTAAAAATAAAAAGAAGTGTCAATTAAAAAAAAACAACATTAGGAGTAAAAAACAAATCCTGAAAAAGATTTTTTTCACAAGCCCTGAAAAGATGAAAAATGACATTATTACATAAAATATTAATAAGTCTGAAAATATGTATCGTTGAATGTAAAAGTATTCTTTGAGTATATTCTATGAACACATAAATTATCAAAGTTGTCTTCAGAAGAGATGAAAATCTGAATAGGGCTGTATCTTCAGAAGGACTGAACATGTTGCCAAAGATCTATTTCCTGAAGAGATATGAAGTTTTACAGGTGTTGTGTGTCTGTGCAACCTTTAAAGAACATATGATTCCTGCCATTTAAATGGTTCCAGGGGCACCTGAGTGGCTTAGTCAGTTAAGCATCTGACTTCAGTCAGGTCATGGTCTTGCAGTCTGTGGGTTCGAGACCCCTGCCTCGGGCTCTGTGCTGACTGTTCAGAGCCTGGAGCCTCCTTTGGATTCTGTGTCTCCGTCTCAGCTCCTCCCCTCCTTGCATGTGTGCTCCCTCTCTCTCAAAAGTAAACGAACGTTTTAGAAAATTAAAACATTAAATAAAATGGTTCCAAGTTACAAGAAAAGTTGGAAAAGTTCCCAAAGTCTTGGGGGAAAAGATATAAACGGTAGTCTACAAGTTCAATACTTGTCCAGATCTGGTTAGAAAATATTAGCATCGTCTATGCCTCACTGAATTTCCTAAGGAACCAAAGCTGGCACAATTTTATCATGGTGGCATGAGCAAAAATGTGGCAGAGAGCTCAGTTTGTACTACCTGGGTAAAACGCAGTCCTTAGCACAAGGTGTGGCAGGAGATGAAGCCAACCTCCCCCATCATGGGGGCTCTGCTCCCCTTCCTGGATCCTGTGCCTGCTGGAACTTCCTTTTTTGGCAAAGAGTGCGAGGGGAAGCACTACACACCTTGAGCTTAAATCCTCAAGTTAACACTTAATGGAAGTGGTATGATTTCTCTCTTCCCTCCTGCTTCCTATCTTTCTGCATTCTCATTGTTTTAAAAACTTGGAGACCACACTTTATTTTATTTTCACACTTTAAAAAATAATTTACTTATGTTTTAATTTACATCCAAGTAGTTAGCATATAGTACAACAGTGATTTCAGGAGTAGATTCCTTAATGCCCCTTACCCATTTAGCCCCTCCCCCGTCCCACACCCCCTCCAGCAACCCTCTGTTTGTTCTCCATATTTAAGAGTCTCTTCAGCTGTTTTTATATTATTTTTGCTTCCCTTCCCTTATTTTCATATGTTTTGTATCTCAAAGTCCTCATAGGAGTAAATTCCTATTTTTGTCTTTCTCTAATTTCGCCTAGCATACTACCCTCTAGTTTCATCCATGTAGTTGCAAATGGCAAGATTTCATTCTTTTTGATTGCTGAGTACATACACAATGGAGTATTGTCAATAGCATTGCTATAAACATTGGGGCGCATGTACCCCTTCTGACTGTAGCCATATTTAACTATACTACTCAGTGGCACTGAGTACATTCCCATTTTGTGCAAGCATCGCCACCATTCTGCTCCAGAACTTTTTCATCTTCCTCCTGACATTTTTAAAGAAATGTTTATTTATTTAAGTTATCTGTATACCCAGCTAGATCTCAAACTCCAGACTTGAGATCCAGAGTCACCTGCCCTTCTGACTCGCCAGCCAGGCGCCCCCCTTCTTGACATTTTTAATGAATACCAATTGTAAGCCAGGCAGATGATGCTGGAGACAACCAATGAGCAAGATAAAATTGCCCCCAGACTCTCAAAACACTGGCAGGAAAAATTTTCATTTCAAAGCTACAGCTTTTCAGTCTTGCAAATGATGGGCTTGAATTCATCTTTGGGCCTGACAGTTTCTTGGTGTGGATACATCACCTGAATCTAGTGCATACAAACACATTATTGAAAAGTGTAAATTGCTTTGACGGTAATGTAAATGACTGTTTCAGTCCTTATCTGTGGGTTGGTTACCTTCTCACTCCCACCTTTGAGACATTCTCTGCCCTTCTCCAGAGGATGGCTTTTGTGGAGTCCTCACAGCCCCTGTTTTATTTATGTTTTTATTATTTTAAATATAATTTATTGTCAAATTGGCTTACATACAACACCCAGTGCTCATCCCAACAAGTGCCCTCCTCAGTGCCCATCACCCATTTTCTCCTCTCCCCCTCTCCCCCCATCCACCCTCAGTTTGTTCTCTGCATTTAAATGTCTCTTGTGGTTTGCCTCCCTCCCTCTCTGTTTGTAACTATTTTCCCCCTTACCTTCCCCCATGGTCTTCTGTTAGTTTCTTGAGATCCACATATGAGTGAAAACATATGATATCTGTCCTTCCCTGACTGACTTTTTTTTTAATGTTTTTATTTACTTCTGAGAGAGACAGCATGAGCAGGGGAGGGTCAAAGAGAGAGGGAGACACAGAATCTGAAGCAGGCTCCAGGCTCTGAGCTGGCTGTCAGCACAGAGCCCAACGTGGGCTCGAACCCACTAAACCTGAGCCGAAGTTGGATGCTCAACCGACTGAGCCACCCAGGCACCCCTTTCCCTGACTGACTTATTTCACTCAGCATAATACTTTCCAGTTCCATCCGTGTTGCTGTAACTGGCATGATTTCATTCTTTCTCATTGTCAAGTAGTATTCCATTGTATAGATAAACCACATCTTCTTGATCCATTCCTCGGTCAATGGACATTTAGTCTCTTTCCATGATTTGGCTATTGTTGAGAGTGCTGCTATGAACATTGGGGTACATGTGCTCCTATGCATCAGCACTCCTGTATTCCTTGGGTAAATTCCTAGCAGTGCTATTGCTGGGTCATAGGGAAGTTCTACTGTTCATTTTTGGAGGAACCTCCATACTGTTTTCCAGGGCAGCTACATCAGTTTGCATCCCCACCAACAGTGCAAGAGGGTTCCTGTTTTTCTACATCCTCGCCAACATCTGTGGTTTCCTGATTTGTTCATTTTAGCCCCTCTGACCAGTGTGAGGTGGTATCTCAGTGTGGCTTTGATTTGT